ACTAGAAAATGAAGCTGAACCGAAATCAGCTAAAAAAGAAAAGAGAATTCTCTTTTGTAAATTATACAAAAAAAAAAAGAAGTTATTATTAACTATCTACAAATTTTCTACTATATCTTACCTTTTGTGCTTTTTTTTCTTTATTCTGCGATCCATTATAGAGCAATAAGAGTGAGATTAGGGTACAACTAGTAATACAGCTACTACTGAGAAAATCGAAATGAATTGTTTAACCAGTTTCTTGTTACGCCGTTAAGTATGATTTTTCATAGAGTAAATTATAAAAATGGGACGAATATCAAGTGTAATTCTTCAGAATGAATTCTTTTAATAGTTCAAACAAAACTTATACTCAATCAATCAATCAAAATAATTATTTCAAATTTTAAGTTTTTGAAAATATCTGAAAGAATATATTATCAATTACCTAATTTAACAATCGCATCTTCTGTTAATAGAATATTTCCAGCTTTAATATCACGATGAATTCGATGCATAGAATGAAGATAATCAAGTGCATGCAAAGTATCACATACAATTGTAGCTATTTCACCTTCAGCTAAAGATTTTTTATGAACTAAAATAGACAAATATTTTAAAAAAACAAACACATATCTTTCTAATGTTTTCTTTTTAACCTTCAATAAGATCAGCTGCTGAACCAAGACAATATTCCATAACAAGCCATGTTGTATATTCTTTTAAATAACATCCACGATAAGCAATACAATGACGATGATTCAATTCACGTAAAAAACGAATTTCTTTAAGAATATCTTGCCATGTCTACTCAAGAATAAAAAAAAGAAATTTAATTTAAAAGAAAAAAAAAAAATTCTTTTCTTGATTAGACAAACTTCAGTATTTTGTTTTCGTCCTGTTGACATTTTTTTAATTGCAACTAATTCATTTGTTTCAGAATTTCGAGCCTAAATAATTAATGCATATAAACTTTTCTTTTAAAAAACTAAAAAGATTTCATTCATGAATATATATATACATACATAATAAACAGCTCCAAAATTTCCATGGCCAATTTCTCGTAAATCGACAAATAATTTTTCTGGATCTTCTTTTGAAAATAAATTACCACATTCACTATCATTTACTGATATCTCTTTAGCTGAACGTGGAAGTGGCATTTCGTTTTTTCTTTTTTTTGTATTTTTCTTTACTAAATTAAATCAATATTTTATGATATTTTATTTATTGCATCTATAATAAAAATTAAAAGAAAAAAAAAAAAAAAGAAGAAGAAATGTCATACATATGACTCAGTCGTTTTCGTTTCAGATGAATGGTCTGATCATTTATTCCTTCTTTTCTTCCATCGCCATTTCCATTTTCTCGTCCAACAAATAATTTTTTTCTCTCTTCTTCTTCTTCTTCTTCTTCTTCGTCTTCTTCTTTTCAAGGAGAAAACAACATGATGCATCCAACGACAAAGAGGACACTACTAGACGGCAAAAGAACTACATTTTTCAGACATAATTAATATTTTTTTATAATGTTCAAAAGATAGTTTTATATCAAATCATTATATTTTTATTTCTCACCATGTATAAATCTGGTTTTTCTATTCCAAACAAGAGAATTGCGAGTATGTGTACGAAAAGATAACATTTATCGTCAAAAGAAGTTAATTTTCATCAGAAAAACCAAAATTGAGATAGGCTGAGGTTTGATCTTTCATAAGCAACATGAGTTTTTATTTGACATCTTGTTGTATGGAACTCACATATATTTTCGAAGAAAATAGTAAGTGAAGTTTTAAGTCAAAGTTTTGTTCGTTCTTCCTTCCTTCCTCCATTGTAGATCTTAGTCATTCGATATATTTTTCAATATTCTAAATAAGATAAACGATTACATGATAGATATCAAGGACGATATTTTGATTTTCTATAACCTGTCATATGATTAGAGCCCATTGGATCCGAGTCTGAGTCCAAAAATTCTTGGATTCGATAAGCTCTAAATATGACCGACACAAAAGCATGAACTGATTAAGTTCTAACTTTCGACAATAACCAATATCAATGTTTCTGATTTTATCGAGATGCATAATAGATCGATAAGATCTACTGTAGATATGATGAATGTATATGCAACAGATTTTGTATTAGTATAATGTAACTAAAGAAAACATGTGAGTTCCACATTTCAGTTCCACAGGAGTTGTACTAATAAGCTTTTTGTTGGCCATAACTTTCAATGATTTCCATTACCTTTTGCTTGAAAAATGTGCTTTTCTGATCGCACATCAAAGAATTCTTGAAGGAATTTCATTGCAACTAATTGGTTTTTTTTCTTTTATTTGAAGGAGTATATGAAGCTATAGTATTCGTTTTTTTGAATTAAACTTTTTGATTATTATTTAAAAAGATATTTCTATAAATAGATGACTATTTTCATTTGTGACTCTTGCGTATTGAATACACCTAACCTAAGATCGATTCTGGTGAAAGGTCTTAAGCATGACAAAATTTGATTTAATTACTGTGAAACATGATGATAAAAAAAATGCAACAATATGTTATTGAAATCAATTAACTTTATCTTTCCTATCAATTTAATTATCTACTCTAATACATTATTGTTAAAGTTTTTTTTTTTTTCTGAAATATTCGCTCTATTTTTTTAAAACTCTTTTCTATATAAAAAATAATGATAAGATTTCATTCATATCTCGAAATAAAAAAAAATATCAGTAATGCTTTGTTCTAATTAATTTAGTTATTAAATCACATGAAGGAAATCTTTCAGTTGATTCGAACTCATTGAGTGAATACAAGTAATATGTATATCTGAATGATTATAAATCAAATCAAAAATTGTTTGATAACTATTTAATTTCTGTCTATTCGGATTGATATTCAATTAATGTCATATAATCAGAATATAAACTATGTCAAATAAAAATACTCGATAAGTATGATAAACAGTATCTGTCAGAGAAATGTTAGTATGTCAAGACTGGGTCATTTCTTTATTGGACAGATACGACTTATTCATGTCATACCAAACTATCATTGTACGTGTAAAATGATATACCAAACCAAATGTCATATATTAATGGATGTTACAAAAAGTCCTTGGACAAATGTCAAGTTCAACTGTACTTAAAAAGTACATTATAAGAAGCTAGCTCATTCTTCTTTTTTTTTTTTGCTCATTATATAGAGTGTGACCTCTATTTTAAAATGAAATATTTATTTTGTCGACCGATGTCTTACTGAAGACGTACATTTCAAGGTTGACTTTTACAGATTATATAAATAATTATATCAGCTTGTACTACTCATAAAGATCATTGGCAAGCTCGATTGTAATTAATTATTTTTGACAGAATAATTTTCTTATGGAAATTCGGCTATTAACTATTCGAACACTTTGTCACTTACTGTATGTCTTTTTTATTTAGAGGCATACCAAAGGTAGTGATTTTGGCAGATAAAATCTCATAGGATGGAATTAATCGAAGTATTTGAGCTAGTAGTCATTAGAGATAGATTCGGTTCGTGTTTTTTTTAAACTGAACCGATCCTATCACTGCTTTATATAACTGAAGGTTCTATGATTTTCAATAGTTAATAATAAACTCAATTAGAATCTGTTCCAATAGAAAATATTAATTATACAAAAAAACAGTCTGTTCTTGTGCTATAGATGTTTGTCTAAACAAAGGCATCTATCTAAAATGAGACAAATTATTTCTACAGGAAAATAAATCTTCTTAAAACTCTATACGAACAAAAACACAGACTTTTCTGTTGAATTCATCACAAATATATTTTCAAAACTGCACTGTTAAGATTAAATTATCAATAGTTCTCGAAATGATAGTTTAATCATTGTAAATTTATGCTTTCTAAAAAGTGTCTACTTTCAATCGACATATAATATTATATATCTAAAGCTTATTTCAAGGGAAACATATATATATAATCAAGTTTTACAAGAAAGAATTATAAATTTATTTTTTTCAAAACCAATTTTCTTTTAATATTCTCAAAACTAAATGTTTTGACTTCTATGCATGTCTATTTATAACTTCTCAATCAAGTGAAACTCGAATGTCATTTAGATAGAAGAATGTTTATTATCATTTTACTGCAGTAGCAGTTGATTAATATTATTTCGTTATGATTAACAAAATGTATTCATATGATGACAGTCTTTGTAATCAAATAAAATTTTCAAATAGTGTCGATAACACATCGGCCTACTGGAATTTTTGATAAAGAAAATGGAAGTACTGTAGTGTCAGTCTGACCATATGGACGTATTGCAGTGCAATTAGCGGTCATGCTAAATATAGATTACACTAAATGCATAGCGTAGTATGGGAGTGTAATACCTATGGGAAAATAATTGTTAATCTTCGATTTATTCGTTATGAAAAAATGAATAAAAGAATTTCTCTGTGATTAGCAATAGCAGTTACATCGGCTCACAGAGATTGTGCTCATAGATTTTTATTTAATTAACAACTCGAATAGGATGTTTTTTTTTTGTTTTTAATATAATAATTACTTCAAGTTAAATTATTATTAATTTAATCTACTTCGAATATATTCTAATTAACTTTACTTTATCCTACAATATCATAATTAATAACTATTATTATGTATATCATTTTTCTTAAAAGTGTCTGGACACAATAATAAATAAATAAATAAAACCAACAACTTGCACACAAAAAAAAAGAAACAAAAAGCACATATTTTTTTTTAGTATCTTTGCTGTAAAAGTAAAAAAAAAAAAGAACAATCAAAGAGAAAAAAAAATTAACTTTGCTTCTATTTTAATAATCCATCAAGTACAATTTTAATTGAAGCATAGAGGATTTTTTTAACGTGTTTATATTTATACAGGTTTGTTTTGATTACACACACACACACACACACACACAAGAAAAGCACCGGCAAAAAAAAATACATATTTGAAGAAAATAATAACTAATCACAAAGTAAGAAGATTTTGTTCTTTTATGAAAAAAATCACATTAATGAACACCAACGATCATCACTAGTTAATGATAATTCATTAGCCACTTGATTTTTACCTTCAACATTAGGCATATAACAACGATGATCAAGATATTCACGTTCATAAAATAATAAATAAGCTGATGATGAACATTGTTCAAGAAAACTTTCTGAAACAGGCTAAAGAAAAAAAACATTTTATATCCATCAGTTCTTCTAATTATAAGTTGTTAATTATTGTTGTAGAGATTCGATAGAAAAAGATAATCGAATTCAAAAAAAAAAGAAGTTTGTCTTCTAGATATTAAATTAAAATCATTCTATATTGACTTCTACTTGATTTTCGAGAGAAATATTGATAGAAAATTCCTCGTAGAAAAATTACCTTGCATGAACTATCATTAAAACAATACCATTGTTGATTAATATGATTTTTAACAAATGCTACATAATGACCGCCACCAATAACTCCATAATGACACTATAAAAAAATAACTAAAATGCAATTATATCTATAAAAAAAAAAAAAAACTTTAATTCTTACAACAAATGCATAAAGATTATAAGCAGTATTATCAGCATCAAAATTATTATCAGCTGAGCCAAATGTTTGATCATTCATTTGAATAAATTTTGGTGGACAGGGAATATTCGATTTATCATTTAAAATTTCATTTTTATTTTTTCGTCGTCCAAATCCAGTTTTCTGTTTTTTTTCTAATTCATCTAATGATTCAGGTGGTGGTAATCCAATATTAGAATAATTTTGTTGTGAATAAAAATTATTTCCATTAGTTAAATAAGAAGATGAAGTTGTAGATAATGATATAATATCTGGTGCTGTTATTATTGATGATAATGAAGATGATGAAGTACTTAGATTATCTTCAATAGTTGAAGTTGATAATGAATTAATTATTGATGAACGTTGAGGAAGATATTTTGATGGATAAAATGAACGAATAGGAAAACGAACCGAACGAGAAGATTTTATCCAACGATTATTTGATAATTGAAAACGTTTTATATGAAAAATCTAAGAAAAATATAAAATAAAATTTTCTTCCTATATTTTATATTCATTTGTTTTTTTAAATAAAAGCATGACAATACTTTTTTTTGGTTGATTAATAGATTAATCAATTAATTACACTGTGAGATCGTACGTGATCTTTCGAGACTTGAGCAATGTTACATAAAACCTTACTGTATGAACTTACCTATATACTAAAATTTTCATTAAATATTCTACAGAAGTGAAAGATCCTTTATGAATCATATAATAGGATGAGATTAGAGATATGCGGGATCAAGTTTTTTGATTTGGATTCCGACAACTTCTTTTCTAGTGGTGTCGGTTCTGCTCTAGAGAATAACTATAATTTTTAGTTTCGGTCAGGAGGAAGTTTCTGTTTCGTGGTTCCGATTCTGTACATTCCTAGACGAGATGTATGTTTGTTAGAGACTATGATTCTTCTTACATATTTGTGTGATTTTGAAATATTATGATTGTATGTAGAGATCGGTGTAATCAAGTTTTTTCGTGACGTCTTGTAGTAATGGCAGTAAGTCACGAAATTTTTTGTTGATATTGTCATAAATTATTTATATTCTCGATCGAAGTGATGATAATACGTTGCAAGAAAAAGAGAGAAAATAAAGATTTTTTTATATTAAGGCTACCTCCTCCCCTCTCAAAAATCGATCTCAGCCCAGGAACATTCAAATGGCATGAAAATTTCAGGATATGGTGGGGCTGGTGAGACATGGCCATGGTCAAATTTTCAGTCCTATAGCACGATGTTTAACCGAGATATGCACCAAACAAAGGGCAAAAATAGCTCTTTAGTATCTCCAAGTTTTCTCTATGGGTCTTCATTCTAGACATTTAATTTTTTTTTGTTTGAAAGAGCATGTCAAAATGCAGCGACTCTCGTGGCCCTTTTTTTAAAAGTCTTACTTGTTAGGGGAAAAAACCGAAACGAAAGTTCAATGACTCAAGAAACTTTTCTAAAAATTGCGCTGCTCCGATAGAGATGTTATCTTCTATGATAATAAAAAAGCTTATTTTAAAAAAAGGGCCACGAGAGTCGCTAGTCTTGCACATAAGCTTTCAAAGAGAAAAATATATTTGGCTTTATCTCTTACTGTGATGGAGTTCTGCTGGAGATACGTCGTTGAATCCACGTTCTGAGAAAAACGAAAAATGATTTTTGATTTTTTTTGTAAAAACCGCTTATTTTTCGAATAGGGGATGACAAAAATCTTCCAGAATTTTCGGAAAAAAGAGGTGTTGAGTAAAAGCTTTTGTCATTTATGAAAGAGCATTTGACGAGCTATATCTCCATGAGGTTATCTCAATTTCGATCATTTTGATGAAAAGTGACTTTTTTGAGGAGGGGAAGGGATGGCCTTAAATTACAAAATTTATTTTAGCGAATGGAGAATGAGTAAATTATTTCGAGCTCGGATGATTATCTAAAGTTATTTCGATTTAGAAAATATGATTAAACTTTCAAAAGAAGTTTAAAAAATGATTGTTTGTTTTATTGTGAAGATTTAATATAGTTAAAAGAAAAATCGATCATTCATTAGAATAAACAGTTGACTTAATATATAATTCTTTTCTTTCGATATCTCAAACTGTAGCATACATACACAAGACAAAAAACAAAGACTAATTATTATATGTCATCTAAAACTTTTTTGTTCTTTTTTTTTGTCTTCAATCTATATAAGATGAATTATAATTATCTTACCAAACATGGTGGTAATTTCCAAATATCAAGTTTTTTATCAGCTGGCTGTAATTTTTTACATCGTTTACAATTAAACATTTCTTTATTATCAAGATTTTCCCAATTAATAAATGTTTGTAGACAATCTTCAAGTGTAATTATTGATGATTGTTCATCATTATTTGTATCATTATTATTTATTGTTCGAACAATTTTTACACTTGAATGAATTTCAACATCCTATATAATGAAATATGATTTAAAATAATTCTTATTTATATTTATTATTTACTTGTTCACGACCAGATAAATATCGAAGATAATAAGCAGATGATTCCCATTCAATAGCTATATTTCCACGTGTATATAAAAATTCATTATCATTCGATTCAAAAGAACAACCAATACAAAAACTAAAAAGAAAATAACATTTTATAAAAATATTGTTTTCTTATTTGAAATTTTGTTTTTTTTTACCGATTCCATGGACAAATTGAACATCGTTTTCCATCTTCATTAACATGTTTTAATATAAATGGATAACGTTCACCAAGTGAATCATCACAATCAAGTGCATGATTTGATTTTGATGTTAAATCAGTTGTTTTACGTAATAAACGTTCTAATTGTTTAGATATATTTTCATATATATATTTATTTGTTATTTTTATTGAATTATTTTCATTATATGGAACAATTATTGGTTGACCAAAAAATAAAATTTTTTGACGTGTTAAAGGTGATAAATAACGTTCTTGACGTTCTAATCGACGATGTACAGCAACAATATATGATATTGATGATAAAGTATTATTATTATCAATAGATGTTATTAATGGTAATTCAAAAGCAACAAAATCACGTATATTTAATTGTTTGATTTTTGTTTGATTAGAATCCATTAATGTATAACGACGAAGACATGATGGTAATGTTACATCAAAAAATCCAATTTGTTCAATAGATAATGATGATAATATAGATAATTGTTTTTTTATATGATCAACTGTTAATTCACCATCAAGTTTAATACCATATCGAATTGGTTTTAAACCATTAAGACGAATAACTAGAAAATCAAAGAATTTGAAGTTTTTTTTGAGGATATTAGAATTTGTTGTTTATTTGAAAAAGATAAAAGAAATAGTAGAAAGAATAAAAGAAAGTGGTACCATTTCCATGGATTATCAGAGATAGGATCGGTTCGTATTTTTTCAGAACCGATTTGATCTTCATGGATTATATCCCCTCCTCCTTAGTTTTTCTTTTGTTCGTGAATAGACATGTACCAAACTCAAATCTAAAACGTTTGAGTTTGGTGCATGGTGTGACAATAGGTCTAGGACAGTTGCACACATGAATGTGAGTGTGGATTACCAGTACGGGTTGTGGGCTTATATATGGAATGACATCAATTTGGTCGAAAGAAAAAATAGCGAAAAAAGTTTATTTAACAGTGTATGAAAAACATTCAAAACCAAAATAACAACAAGATAATATGTTTCTTTATGTGTCTGTGAGTATACAGCCCATCGGATTCTACCTGGACTAGGACCCAACCAGATCCGGGTCCAAAAATTCTTGGATCCAATGGATTCTTTCCACAAAAGATCAATCAATTAGGTCCGAGTCCAACAATTTTGATCGGTTCTGATCAGGGTCCAAAAAACTTTTATCGATCGGATCCGAGCCCAACAAATTTTAATCTGTCAGATCTGGGACCAAATGGACTCTTGTGGGATGTGCATCTCTGCAACATTTTTTTAGGGGTATATATTTCTTCGTCATTTTTTTCTTTCGGTCAAATCAATATTTCTAATCCGCGTACACAACTTTTATAATCTCGATTTTTACATACGTTTAACTTCAATATAAACTGATGTATCTATTGGTAATGGTAATGAAAGAATATTAAATGGATCAAATCGAACACTTTTTAATTCACATATTCGACATTTAACTTGTGAACGAAGTAGACCATGAAATAAATCAACAATAATTGATGAATTTCGTGCTACATGATTTGACCAATGTTCAGATGCAACCTATTTTTATATTTTTAAAAATAAAATAATAATTTTTTTCAACAAAAAATCTTTTTCTTTTACATCTTCATCTGGTCTATCATCACTATCTTTAAGTTCAACATATGGTTTATCATGAACACGATTAAGATCTTCATGTAGACCATCAAGTAAAAATGAAAGAAATTCTTGTGAATCATGTTGTTGAAAATCTGTAAAACGTGATGAACCAAATTTTGCAACTGAACCCTTAAATAATTCAAAGAAAAAACAAAAAAAAAACTAAAATAATATAATTAAAAATTATCAAATATCAATATTAACTCTTAATTCAAATGGTGCTAATGGTCCACGAACATTTCCCCAAAGTTTAGTAAGCAATTGTCCATAACGTAAAGCTATATTTCCTTGCATTCCAATTGGATTATCTCTATAAATAATATTATTTATGAAAAAAAGAAAAACAAAATTTTTTTTTTCTTTGTAGTACTTATTTATTTCAAATAAATGATATTTATGAAGAAAATAAAATGTTAATGGAAATGAATTACTAAGACATTGTACAGCAGCATTAAGAAAACATGTATTGCCTAAATTTGATAGACCTATTTGACCACGTCCTTCTTCGTCAACATTTCCTATTGAATTATTTATTGATAATGTTGACACTGCTAATGTTTTTGAACGTGTTGCTAATGTATATAATTCTTCAGGCCATGTTAAATCATTATTACGTATTTCTAATAAAATTTCACTATTTTGATTAAAACCTGCTTCTTGACATGTTATTTCATCAATAGATTCAAAATCTATTTGTCGAAGATCATTCTATAGTTAAAAATAATCAATCTATTTATTTGAATAAATTGAATAGAATTGTAGAAATGCTTAAAATATTTGCATAAGCAAATAATATATAAATATAGCAGAAGACATGATTATCGGATTTGTAAAAAAAAAAAAAAGAACAATATTTTCTTCTTTGCATATTTGTGATTCATTGCAATAAACATCTTGTTATGCATATACAACAAAATGTTATAGTACACTCTTAGATCACCTTGAAAATTGACTTTCGAGTTCAAAATTTGGATAAGTAAAGCTTTTGAATGGAAGTAATTCATTGTAAAATTGCCAGATTTTCTAATATTTCCTATTTTTGGATATTAAAAATTTGCTTTTATGTTTTTAATATTGGTATATGTGAAGTGGATATACGAGAAAATCTAACGTATTCACAAGAAATTAGTTCTCTTGAGAATTTTATTTGTACAAAATTTGAATTTGAAAGTCCATTTTGCAGGTGATCTAATGAAGAGTATGGCATTTTATTGAAAAATTTACAGAAATGTTCATAATCCAACTGAAAAGTAATTTATCAATTTGTAAAGTTCCCTCATAAATCTATCAGCACTATCCTATTTCATATTTTGTTAGGATTCTAGAACATAATTGTTTGTGTTTGTTGTTTCGAATGACTCAAAGACTCATTCGCTACATTCTGTTTTAGGTATTTATCTATTCAAATAAATGAGCTGTACCAATATAAAAATAATTCCATGAGATTTCGTAAGACTTATGTCAAAAAACAATGCAACTTCAAGTCGGACATGTCCATGGCAGCAACTTCTTTTTCAGGTGAAAACTATTGCGGTAGCAACAACTTTTCATATACAGTAAAATTTCGCATAATAGACACTAATTATAAATTCAAAAAGAATATTGCAATCATTAATCATTCAGCATAATGACTCTGATTTATTGATCGAACGGCAGAATGGCAAGAAAAAAAGGGACATGTCTTATTGGTAAAGAAAGAATACACGTCCTTTGTATTGAATAGGCAAAATGGGTACATATGTATATATACAATCGCATGATAAAATTTGTGTCACTTTTCTACCATTATTAAGAGAAAGAGGTTATTATGTCTAATCGACGACATACGTTGACTCTAGAACAACAGATTGCACAAATCAAAATGGTCGTGATTTATCAGCTTCATCTTTTTGCATCAGTTCTGATCTTGAATGACAATTAACTAACATTTATTTGAATTCGAAAATAGTGAAATAAAGTTCTATCAAAAAACAAAATATGTTAACAATTGTTGATTTTTCTATTTTCAAAATGACAAATAATAAAATACTCTATCCAATCGAAGAGTGTTCACTATAGAGAGGTTTTTGTTGTACTTCACTGCGTCGCGATGGACATATATACTTCTAGCATCACTATTGATCCTAGAATTTCATAGAATTTTCTACTTCCATCTTGAAGATTTATCTTCTGATTAATGTTTATTTATTATAATCTTACTAATAAAATCAATTACTTACTTCATTAAATCTCATCCATAGTCTTATTTCATCTAAAGATTTTCCAAATTTAATTGAAAGTTCTTCAGTAAGTGATCGAACTGTTTGATATTGACTAACAAAATATGAACAAGCTAAATGATGTCGAGGTGCATTTGATGTCATGGAAGTTGAAGAATTATTTGAACCTATAAAAATTGTTATACAAAATTTTTTGTTTTTTTTTTCTTCTATCATATGTTACCAAACATGCTTGCTGAAACATAATTAAGTAATGGATAAGCAAAATGCATAGAATTATTATTATTATTATTATTATTATTTTTATTTGTTGCTATTGCTTCGATTTGTTGTGGTGAAAGTATTCGATTACGATAAATTTTTATAGTTAACTATTAATCAAAAAAAATATAATATTAAATATAATAAAAATTTTTACCGGATAAAGATCAAGTTCAGGTCTATTAAGATTTTTTCTATATGTTACTTTTCGACATACAATTGGTCCATTACAATGATAATATTTACGTAAAAATATCCATAATAATTCAGGTATCATTTCAAAATGAATTCCACGACGAAGATTTGGTTTAAGTTGAATACAATCATTTGAAATAATTTTTTCTGTTAATACATTATTATCAATATCACCAAGTTCACATCTAAATAATAAATATATAAAATTAAAAGAAAAAAAAAAAGAAAAAACATTTTTAATTTACTTATTATCAGTTTTATTCGATTTAATCGATGAAATTTTTTTATTTTTTAATTCATTACTATTTATAATTGATGAAGAACATACTGCTTCCCATCTAAGCCACCAATCCATTGAAATAAGAAACCATGATGAACCAGGTTTTGATGTAGCCCGATTATATACCACTTCTGATTCATTAAATGGATATTTTTCACGTCGAAGAAAATGTCTTTAATTTAAAAACCAAACAAATTTAATTAATAAACTTAGGTTTTTTTTTGTTCTCTTTGTAAGATTTTTAAATAACATACTTTACAATTGTTAATTCATCTTGTTGTGATAATGGTCGTAAACCAAGTACAACATGACAAATTTGAAAAATAAGATCCAGTAATTCAATAATTAATGCATCTTTTTGGCACCATAGTAAAAAATCTTCTGATTTCAATATTGATTCATTTTTTTCTGAAATCATATCAGCATATAATTCACGTGAAGTTTTTATATGCATATCCGATGCATAAACAAATTGAGCAACTTCAATAAGACACGATGTCATGTAAATAATATCAGAATGATTGAGTACACCATCATGATCACGATCAAATACACGAAAGAGAACTATTTTTTGAATAAAAGTTTTGATTATTTAAAAAAAAAAAAACATTATTGTTCTTCTTCTTATTTAGTTCATTCTGACGAAGTTATGATTTAATAAATCGAATCAGGAGTGTTTTGAAGTCATCAGAATTGTAGGAAGAAACATTTATCTTATCAAAATTTTTTTAATTTTTCTTAAGAACAACAATTTGTGTTTTGTGCATTTCCATTACATTATAATTCCAGACGCGATAGACATGAGGAGTAATTTTTTCAGGGGAAAAAATCCAATGCGACTTTTATATTACAAGAAAACCATTGACAGTGTTATGATAGTAAGATTTTTATTATAAATCGAGATCCTTAACACTAAGGAAAAATCTTACAGTGATAACTATATTCAATTAGATTACAAGTATAATATCGATGAAGAAAAAAAAACGATAACTCACATTTATATCTTTCACATTGTGGACCTCGACAAGCAGCACTAATTCCACAAGAAAATTCTTTAAAATCAATACATCCTGGAAAACAAAAAAAAGAATTAATTATTTATTGATAGATTTTTTTTTTTCAAAATTAAACTTACCATCTTGATTTTCATCGAAAGCTTCAAAAACTGCCGATATTAACATAGATGGAAGAACTGGTGAAATTATATTTGAAAATATTTGTGGTGTTATTTGTTGTTGTCTATTATTATTCAATGTACAGAATTGATAATACATTTGTTCTAATTCTTTGATTTCTTTTTCTGATACTATTTCAAAACAAAAAACAAAACATTTTTCTTTTTTGCTAAGAAATGAATTTAAGAATATCTTCCTCTTTCTTTTGAATATATCTGGTTTTCAAAGAGGATACAATCGATCCGTGTGAAATTTTTACTGCACACACACGACTTCTAAAAGATGATGCAAAAGTTCTGTATTAATAGTGTGACAATAACTCGTCGTAGGAACTCGATAGTTTTAATGTGATTTTGTAGAGAGCTCAGTAAACTTTAATAATTATATAAAATATGAGGTTTTACTAGCTGTGACTATTGAAAACCATCGTATTTTTCGAAATTATTTATTAGTTATGAATACTTTTTGTTAGGCAAAGCTGTTAAAAATTGAAAATTTTATTTTTAACCTGTTCACAGTACTTTAGCGTAGTACTACAAAACTCAATAAAAGATGGAAAATAAGACGAACTTTTCAAGTTTTGATAAGTATTTTCAACGAAATATTTTTACACAGCAGCTTTGCCCTTGTTAACAAGAAAACTATTAAGTCTCCACAACGAGTTATTGTCATGCTATACTGAAAACAAAATTAATGCAGAACTTTTGCATTGCTCATTAAAATAAAGAGACATATTTTCGAAAAAAAAAAATAGGTAAACAAGATTTTCAAGAAAACTTTGGTTCTCTATAAAAGCATATCAAACTCACTTACGAATCTCTTTTGACTTTATCCGATCAAGCTGAATTGCATGAGAAAAATACGTCAAAGTTCATATCCATGTTCAAGACTCTAGAAATCTGAATAGAAAGATCAAAAACGAGGTCCTATTAATGTTCTGCAATCAGATCGGAGACACCGATATGATCTCATACTCAGATTCGATCCGACGATTAATTTACTTTTTCAAATTGCTAATTTATATAAAAACATAGGAGTAAAAAAAATCTACACAATTTATTATACTTCAGAACAAATCATAGAAGTGAAAAACGATATTGTTATACTAAAATAATTCGTTTTTCATGAAAATTCATCTATAATAAAAATTTCAAATGAATCGTTTGTATTCTTTTTCGAAAAACTAGAAATAATCACAAAAAAGAGAGCATACCATAAGCATATCTTCACTTACGTACAATGTGTAACACCAGCAAGTATTGAATATTGATCATAAATTCTATCATTTGTATATGTTGATAATTCATATAAACGTTGTTCATCCATAAGCCAATCTGTTATTGTTGTTGTATGACCACGATTATTGTCTAACCATTGAAGAAATTTTTCTTGTGTTACTATTTCATTTTTTTGAAATAAATTTTCAAATTCTTTAGGTAATTGTTCACCACATAGACGAAGAAATTCTTCAACATCATACCAATATAATATTCCAGTTTGAGTAAATATTGCATAGAGAACTAAAACAAACAAACAAACAAACAAAAAACAAAGAAATTTATCTCTTTGTTTGTTTTTTTTCTTTAAATTTACGTTGCATGCGTTCTTTTTGTATACCATAATAGATCAATCCCAAACAACAAATAAGATCTTTATAAGACATTCCTGTTCGAGATGAATTCATGTAGAGTTGATAAAGACGCTAAAAAAAGGAAATTTAAAAAAAAAATCTATTTCAAATAAAATAAATAAACATACATTAGCTAATTTTTCAGGTAAAAAATTAGCAAATACATCACGTTTAAAATTTGTATAACTAAGTTCATTTGTTCCATTAGTTATATCACGAAATGTTATTTCAATACGTTCTAAATCATTTGGAAAAACTAAATAAAATAAAAAAAAAAAAAAAAAAAAACATAAGAATGTTTGAATTTATAATTTGCATACATCGTTTTGAAGCTTCATCATATGATAAAATTTTTGTAGATCCACTACCCATGATTAGATTTTATTTTCATCTCATTTGTTGAATAGAAAATCTTTAAAATGAAATTTAAAAAAAACAAAAATGAATATATTTTTCCGTTTTTTTGAAAAATAAATTATTGTGATTCATTAAAATCATCATCACATATTATATTGGTTATTTTTACGAGCAAATAAAACTTATCCTTGTACATATATAAGATTTAGAACAGAGCGCCATCTTTTTTTATTCCATCGATTAATGAAATTAAATGAATGAGACATATATATATAATGTATTTTCAGATGGAATTCGATCATAGCCATTAGAGGGAAAGAAATTTGAATGGAAGAAATTGATTATTATTTGTTTGCAAATGATTATGATATATATCTGTTTTTGAATTTAATTACACACAATTATGAATACTTGATTATATTAGAAACAAAAAAATTAATTATGTAAGATATAGAATTCAAATAATCGTTCACGAAAATTTCGAATAATATTGAAAGAAGTAAAAGATGATCTCTTTAGAAATATTGATGTTAGTTTTTGATTAGTTGAAATTATTATGATAATTTATATCTTCTCAAACAGTTTGATTGAGAGAAATAATAAAAGAAGAATATTTTTGGTGACTCAAGTGGATCATAAAAAATCTTTGTAATAGATCGAGAAAATTTTTCAGTCATTTTTATTGAATTATTGATCAATAATAGTTTTGATAATACAACGTTTGTCGTCCTCTACCTGTATTTTACTTTCAATAGATAACAGGTGAAATCCTACACATATCAACGTATTTATTTTGTTCTTTGTTGAATACAAAAATTAACTGTTTGAAGACTAAACAGTCTTATATAGAGGTTTATCACTGCTGGATGTTTGTGATAATAACTATGATACTCATAATTTTTTCATTTGTAAACTTGAGATCAAAACTAATAGTTTATGTCAAGGTACTTTTACATGCTTTATAAATCGGCGTATTGATTATGTTTACCGATAAGATTATGCAGAGTCAAGCCGAAGCAATATCTTACAGGCCTGACCCTGTAAAACCTAATCGGTAAACATGATAAATAAGCCGTTTTGTAAACCATGAAAAATGACATTGACCTTCACTATTAGTTTTCATGTCAAGTTTACAAACGAAAAAGTTATGCGTACTATACCTAGATCCCATCGGATGCAAAATTTTCGGACCTGGTCTAACTGTACTTTGGTACTCTCAATGAAATTTTCTTATCGGAATCAGATAGTCGTTCCGAAGATATGAGATACTTTTTTCCAGTTTTGTTTTTGTATTCGGTGACTAGAGTCTAGCAGGTTCAAAATTTTCAGGTCTGCTACTAATCCGACGAGTTCTAATCATAGTTCTTATCCAAAAGTAATAAACCCCATAGATTATTTAGTCTTCAAAAATTTTTTTTCATTCGACAAAAAAACAAAATAAATATGCAGAAGTGTGCAAGATTTTATGTTGTATCTTTCTAACCAATTGAAAATGAAATCTAAGGGAATAAGTGACAGATTTACAATCTTATCGTATAGTGTCCTCGTCGCAAAATCAAAAGAAAACCGTGTCTTTTTTTTTCGACATATGAGATTTTTAAGTAGTCATCTCTGAAAAACAAATATCAAAAGTTGTGTTAACTTGAAAATTTCATAATATCAAAAAAATAACTTTCAAAAATCTACAATACTCTTAAATCAATTTATTGACACTAATTTCTCATTTATCAGCAAGTTAAATTTTGATAATGAGTTAAAATATTTTTTAATCTCATAGAAATTCACTCGTTATAGAATTAAAAAATATCCAACGGATCTCGAAGTTGAATATTTTGACTCATATATTTGACTATGACAAAACGTATCATCTAACGACAGATCATTTCTATTTAAATCAAATATTTATCTTCCTCTTTTACCATCGTAGATGAAACAAAAAAAAAAACTCACACATATTTTCAAAACAGATTTGCATTGAATCATTTTAAGAAAAAAAAAATCATTCCTTTTTATTATCATTGTTAAATACAATATGCCACAAATAATGATGATGAAAAAAAAAAAAAAAAGAAATCCATATTGATGTTAAAACATGAAAAAAAAACCGGGACAAGGAGAAAAGAAAAAGAAAACGAAACGTAGTGTTAAACAACCTGTTCTTCGTATTACACGAGTATTAAAGCATCGGTTGACAGTAATGAAATATTCGACGTTATACTTGTATTTTTCTGTTCTTTCTTTTAGTTTCGTAATGTAAGAGAAATGAGAATGAATCGTTTTTTTTTTCTTCTTTCTCTTTTTTAGTTATTATTTTTAAAATTAAGTTCATTTCGAAATTGCAATTATTCAATATTAAATATAATTTTGTTATTTTATTTATTGTGATAAATGTCTTTGTATTCGTCACGCTTGATCAACACATATATACTGTGTCCTTCAAGATGAATATTTTCTATTTGTCTGTAATAATCAAACTAAAAGAACGTATATGAGCTATGTATGTATCTAAAGCAATTACGTTCTTATTTTAGATCTATTTCTTTTATTTTATTTTATTTTTTCTTTGAAAATGAATCTTTTTGAAATTATAGATAACAAATGGATAATAATCATCATGTTGACGATAGTGATGAATTCTTCGATGCCGACGGTATTTAAATAATATTAATTTAAATGAGAAATTTGAAGATTTTTTTTTTTTTTAAATTCGAATGAAATTTTATTTTCAAATATTGGAAATATTAAATTCTATTTAGAAAAAAAAAGGTTTTTATGTAGACTAAATTGTAAAGAAATTATCGAATAGTTTATTTCAAAAATGACGTACGGATATTTAAAAACTTATCTATTGAATTCAATTTTTAATATTTTTCTTAGTCTATATATGAGTTTCTTTTTTTAAGAGATAAAAAATTTGATATCTTCTTCTTCAGTTTTTATCCCGAATAAATAAGCAGAAAAATGCGATTTTATTGAGAAAATTTTCTCTTCTTAGTTGAATTATAATCTTTTGAAAAACTCTAAAGATTTCATTTCAAACTCAATATTTGTATTTTAGTATGATAATAGTATTAGATGAAAAACTTTAGAAATATTTAAGAGTAGTTTTGTTTTTGACCTACATTATTTCTGTGCTATTTTGATAGAAATTTTCGAATATATTTTTCACAGTATTTTATCTAATGAGATTCCCTAGGCGGAGCAGCACTATCACTCTTTCCCATCGAGTCAGACTCAATTCTTCGAAGAGTAGATTGTCAGTCTCTTCAATATTGTAATCTAGCTCTTTTTTCAGAATATGAAATGATTATTTCAGAGGTGAAACTCGGAATAAAATATTGGTATTTGATTAAAATCGAAGAACAAAACTTGTCTCGATGAACTAGAAGAGAGTTAAATATCTTAGGTTAGATAGGAGGTTCTGTGAAATACTACAAATAAATTTAAGTATGGTCATAATTTCATTTTATAAAAAAACTTCATAAAATAAGTAAACTAATATATACTCGAAAGTATAATAAGTATGATTCATAAAAGATTACAACCTTCAAAAATAGATAATAATATAAAATGTCTCGTATATGCTATACTTTAGGATGCAATTTGCAATACATTAAACTGTGACATGAAATGTTAGTTACGATACTTTTTTTTTTATACATGATTTCAATCTAGCTTTCGTTACACTGATAAATTCTACTGTGAATATGAATAATTACCTATTTTTACAGTTTATTTCTAATTAGTAACGTGTATTCTTGAAGTTTAAGGTAATCAGAATTTGAAATCTACTAGTTTCAAGTCAATTTTATCTTGTTTCGAACATTTCGAAGCAATTCATTTTCGATCATTGATCGATATTTCAATCGGTTTTCGAACAATAACTAATCAAGAAATGATATCTAGACAAAAATTCAGTTAAAATTATCTAAGTTCAACATGTTTAACTAAGTCTATTTTATGTAATTAAATGTTTATCAAAAAGATGACGACATTATAACACCTAGGTTAATCAGTCTAAATTATTACGAAGTTTTTTAAAGTTAACTTTAGCAAGTAAATAAATAAACAGAAATATCCTACTGAAAAAACTCTACTATTTTCTAATATATTTCTTTATGATGATTTTGTAAAAGGAAAAAAATGCACTAAAAGAGATAAACATTTTAGAAATTCTCTCTCAATATATACATATATATATGAATAATTTGCTTTTTTTTTTCATTACATAGATATCGATCATTATACTGCCAGTATTCAACGAGATTTAATGAGAAGTTGGAATATTATATGTCGAAAACAATATGGTCGGTAAGTATCACTCTTCTTTGAGTTATTAATAATAGAAAAACTAATGGCGTGATCTAAGAAGAATAAATAAATAAATAAATATGTAACTATCTTTTTCTTTTCTTCTTCGATGAGTCAATATAAAAAAAAAAGAAAAAGATATAAGGCGTCGCTTATATTCATATACATATAAACATTATTTATACGGATGAATGAGTACAAAAATCATATGAAAGTATTGCATTTTACCTATACTATTATGTATCTCTTCATCATAATTGCTTTTTTTTATGCATTCGACTTAACGATTTATAAGCAAGTTTATTTTTGGTTCTTTTTTTTTTTTCTTTGTTTTTATCAATCTTTATATATCGAAGTATATAAATATATGATCGATTCATTATTTACAATACATTTATAGAAAAACATTTTTCTTTCAAAATATTATTCATCTATTATTTTTATCAATATGACATCTATGGAGAACTTATATCCAACTTTACAGAGAAATGCTGGAAGGTACGTTATATGTACTACAGATGATTTATTAATTTTGAATAGTGTTATTAAATATGATTCAATTATATCTATTTTGTATATACATATCAATGAGTACATTTGACAAAGAGATATCTTCTCTTGAGACTCGTTCGAATATTCTATAACAATCGAATAATACGATAAAATGAATACATATTTGACTTTTTCTAATCTCACGAGAAAAG